ATATATATATATATATATATATATATATATATATATATATGTATAAGTATACACGTGTGTGTGTGTGTGTGTGCATTACGTATTTCGTGACACATTGCTTCGCAGTAATATGTGTAAAAGTCGAGGATTATTGGAACGAAGCGAGACACTCGCCAGCACATGCTCTTCCCCAGATGTTCGGCATGTGACGGGCAGAAAAAGATATTGATGACTTCTGATATAAAAGCGACCTTATCATGAATGTCGTTTTATAATACTAATAAGAAAATAGCATTAATAAAACAAGTATCTGTGTTTCTGACTGAAGGTATTATTTTTTTCTTAGAAGAGCTTGATTTTAGGTTACACTCGCAGCGTTGCCAACTAACCTTATTTATGGAATCGGATACACAAATGAGGAGATGGATATTTATTCACATATTATATGATTTATGAGAACTGTGGATGATATTTCGATAATAGGTCAAACAACTAGGCTAATATAGTTTTTTTTCAAGGAAATTACGAAATTAGGAGTAAGGTGGTTGGTAACACTGTCCGCTGAAGCCCGTGACACCGCTTCGCTTCAAAGTTTCAGTTTCATTTCAGTTTCGAGTCGCACTTCGAAGGTTTAATCCAGTTTTTCAAACGGGAAAATTATGCGATAGTGTGGTAGAAATAGTATATTGCTTCACTAAACCTTCTAATCGCTTGCGTCGAGCCCTGCCGAAGAGGATATAGAACTGTAAGTAAATTGCTTCGTTCGTTATGAATTCCTTGTTCCAAGTAAATTATTTGAACGAATATTTTACTTTGAACTCAAACTACGAAGGTAAGTCACCCTTAAAACATTCTCCGTTTTCTACGAACAAAATGAAACACTTGTTTTCTTTGAGAATTGTAAATGGGTAAACTATTCTAAAGTTCATGATAACTCCTAGTCCATTAGGATCGCAAGTTTGTATATTTTCACTGGTGGACAAATTCATTAGAGATTTGCTCGAGTCGTATGCTCACATGCTTACGTTATAGGATTTGTTTTTTTATGATGGTTGATGACCTGTAATTCTTTAGGTTTTGGATAAATAGTGATATTTATAAAGGCTTATGTAAAAGTCAAGATATACTCACTTTATTCATATCTGTTGTGTTCTTGTAGTAAATCTATGAAAGTATATTATATTTCCATATTATCCTTACTTTTCTTAACCTACAATATTTCACAATGACTTTACAATCACACTTATAACAAATTGTGATGAAATGGGGTTATTAAATCACGCCCTCATGAAAAAGTAATTTTATTTTGAGACCATTCACATTATAGAACTAGTTGTGGCAGTAAGATTGCATAAATATGAAATATAACATTAATCCTAAACTAGTTAACATAGTGCTAACCTACAACGTAATTTCTAAGTTCCTTTGATTTATCATGTGTGCTTTATACAGTGCTGTTTATAGTTTATTTATTTGAGGAAAGGGAAAAAAACATAAAGGTAATTAAGACTTGCGTTCTGAAATTTAGCCTCATTATATCCTGTTGTCATTGTTGAAAAATATTATTTATATTCAGTCTATACTATTTAATAAAACGTGTTTTAATTGATATATATTTTATATATTATTTACAGATACTTGTATCCCTTTATCGAGGTTACAACTGCATGTATACTTGTTATTTTTCCTGTTTAAGAGTGTCATTTAACAATCAGGGCATCGCTGTCCCCATAACATCATTGTTGTAACTGACTGTGGAGTTAATGAATAATTATTAATTGTTGACTATCAGTTTTCAATTATTAAGTGGAAGTGCTGAAGTGTCGGGAGTGAGGAGTGACTTCTTGAGTCGACGTAGTAACTTTCGACCTCCTGAAGCTGAAATCCGCCAGGCTCTGGATGGGCAGGACACTCTCGCACTCTTTCTGTGGGTTGGAGAAAGCGGCGTTTACAGATAGGATTATTCTGTGGGTTGAGAGGATGATGTTTGCAAGATGAAATTAATGTGTGGGTTGAGAAAGTGATGTTTATAGATAAGATTATTGTTGTGTGTTGAAAAAGCAATGTTACAAATTGAAAAAAAGGACATACAGAAAGTATTATCTATCATCATTTTACCGAGTAGCCTAATAAAGATTCAGACCTAGAATTGAACACAAACAGTCCCGGCAAAACGCACCATATTGAACCAGGGGTGAGCCAGGACCCGACTGAGGTCCGGGCGCTCTGCAGGGTCATGGACCAGGAGATCGCGGGTGAGTTCGCAAGCCTCGTCCGTGACTGAGGCGAAGTGCTCCACGGGGAACCGCACTTCTCCTGACAGGATGTTTCTGCAGGTCGCCTCAGGGGAGACGCCGAGGAAGGGAGATCGACCGCTGCAAAAAGGGACTGTGTTAGGTATCCTAATATATAATGAAAGAAAATAACGTAAAGGCAGTTGCTTGTTTGTGGTTGCTTAAACAGTTTCGTAAAATATGTTCTTTTTCTTTGATGTTTATCTGTTTCTATATTTAATTACTATCTATTTATTTATCAATATGCATACACATTTATTTACTTTATTTATTCTCATCTTATCTACATACTTATTCATGTTTACTTATTTATCTTGATGAACAAGGATAATATTGTTCGAAAGCTTTTATTATTAACATGATAATACTATTGGTAATAATTATATTATTATTGTCATTATTATTATTATTATCATTATTATTATTATTATTATTATTATTATTATTATTATTATTATTATTATTATCATTATTATTATTACTATTATTATTACATAAGGCAGTTTTCCTGCTGCATCTGATGTTATCCTAGGGAGGGTAGAGAGATTATAGTTTACGACTTAAAGACAATGGCTGGCTCCTTCACTGTAGAAGTCACAGGGGCCCTTATTTCGAGTCCGAAGTAAACTACATGCACGGAACAGCGCAAGCAAGAAATTGCATATTTAGAGAAGCTCGATTGAAAATTGGATTAAAACTTTGCTTTAACATAAAGAGCAGATTTTTGGCCTTAAAATATTCAACATTTTTGTTTATGAATTCGCTAAGAAAGGAACCGAAGCTGAAATACGTATAGTAAATACTCTACTGTGAAGCAGAGAACACCTTATTCAAATTCAGATTCTATATGAATATTAATGGACAAATCAGCTTACACACGCCGAATAAAACAAAACCACAAGCTCTTCACACTGAAATCAATTCCCACCTGACCAGGACGTAGATCAGCACGCCCAGACTCCAGTAGTCAGCAGGAACACCCACACTCAGCCTCCGGACCAGTTCAGGAGCCAGGAACTCGGGAGATCCTGCAAGCACGGGGGGGTCCTTCTGGGATACCACTCTCGGCCCTGTAGGAAGGCCCCATCGACTACTGCCTGACGGAGGAGACACGCGACGCGCGCTGCCGAGGTCGATAAGCCGGATGACTGGACGAAATGCTGGCTTGGCTTCGGGGCTGGAGACCTTGGCTTGAGTTTTGACTCTAGGAAGGGTTGGGGTTGAATCGATCTGTGCTGGCTTGGGTCCCGTTTTCAGGTCGGGGATGGATGGCTTGGCTTCTTCACTGGACTCGATGGGCTTAGTTTCAGAAACGAGGTGCTTATCTTCTGTGAGTGGCTTAGTTTCTATTCTTAGCGAGATGGGCTTAACCAGTGCTTCTGTTTCTGGTGTAATTGGCTCAACTATTGTCACTACAGATGTTAGTGGCTTAGCTTTTACTTCTTTAAGTACAAGTTCCTTAGCTTCTGTCTCGTCAAATGTAAGTGGCTTAGCTTCTCTTTCTTCAGGTGTAAGTGGCTTAGCTTCTGCCTCTTCGGGTGTAAGTGGCTTAGCCTTTGCCTCTTCAGGAGTAAGTGGCTTGGCTTCTGCTTCAGGAGTAATTGGCTTAGCTCCTGCTTCAGGAGTAAGTGGCTTAGCTTCTTTTTCATGTGTAAGTGGCTTAGCTTCTCTTTCTTCAGGTGTAAGTGCCTTAGCCTCTTCGGGTGTAAGTAGCTTAGCTTCTTTTTCAGGTGTAAGTGGCTTAGCCTTTGCCTCTTCAGGTGTAAGTGGCTTAGCCTTTTCGGGTGTAAGTGGCCTAGCTTCTGCCTTTTCAGGTGTAAGTGGCTTAGCTTCTGGCTCTTCAGGTCTAAGTGGCTTAGCTTCTACAGGTGTAAGTGGCTTAGCTTCCGCCTCTTCAGGTGTAAGTGGCTTAGCCTTTTCGGGTGTAAGTGGCTTAGCTTGCGCCTCTTCAGGTGTAAGTGGCTTAGCTTCTTCAGGTGTAAGTGGCTTAGCTTCTGCCTCTTCGGGTGTAAGTGGCTTAGCTTCTTCAGGTGTAAGTGGCTTAGCTTCTGCTTCTTCAGGTGTAAGTGGCTAGTTTAGCTTCTGCCTCTTCGGGTGTAAGTGGCTTAGCTTCTTCAGGTGTAAGTGGCTTAGCTTCTGCTTCTTCAGGTGTAAGTGGCTTAGTTTCAGCCTTTTCAGGTGTAAGTAGCTTAGCTTCTTCAGGTGTAAGTGGCTTAGCTTCTGCCTCTTCGGGTGTAAGTGGCTTAGCTTCTGCCTCTTCGGGTGTAAGTGGCTTAGCTTCTGCCTCTTCAGGTGTAAGTGGCTTAGCTTCTTCAGGTGTAAGTGACTTAGCTTCTTCAGGTGTAAGTGGCTTAGCTTCTGCCTCTTCAGGTGTAAGTGGCTTAGCCTCTTCAAGTGTAAGTGGCTTAGCTTCTTCAGGGGTAAGTGACTTAGCTTCTTCAGGTGTAAGTGGCTTAGCCTCTTCAGGAGTAAGTGGCTTAGCTTCCGCCTCTTCGGGTGTAAGTGGCTTAGCCTCTTCAGGAGTAAGTGGCTTAGCTTCTGCCTCTTCGGGTGTAAGTGGCTTAGCTTCTGCCTCTTCAGGTGTAAGTGGCTTAGCTTCTTCTACAGGTGTAAGTGGCTTAGCTTCTTCAGGTGTAAGTGGCTTATCCTCTTCAGGTGAAAGTGGCTTAGCCTCTTCAGGAGTAAGTGGCTTAGCTTCCGCCTCTTCGGGTGTAAGTGGCTTAGCCTCTTCAGGTGTAAGTGGCTTAGCTTCTTCTACAGGTGTAAGTAGCTTAGCTTCTTCAGGTGTAAGTGGCTTAGCTTCTGCCTCTTCGGGTGTAAGTGGCTTAGCTTCTGCCTCTTCGGGTGTAAGTGGCTTAGCTTCTGCCTCTTCAGGTGTAAGTGGCTTAGCTTCTTCAGGTGTAAGTGACTTAGCTTCTTCAGGTGTAAGTGACTTAGCTTCTTCAGGTGTAAGTGGCTTAGCTTCTGCCTCTTCAGGTGTAAGTGGCTTAGCCTCTTCAAGTGTAAGTGGCTTAGCTTCTTCAGGTGTAAGTGGCTTAGCTTCTTCAGGTGTAAGTGGCTTAGCCTCTTCAGGAGTAAGTGGCTTAGCTTCTTCAGGAGTAAGTGGCTTAGCTTCTTCAGGTGTAAGTGGCTTAGCTTCTTCAGGAGTAAGTGGTTTAGCTTCTTCAGGAGTAAGTGGCTTAGCTTCTTCAGGTGTAAGTGGCTTAGCTTCTTCAGGTGTAAGTGGCTTAGCTTCTTCAGGTGTAAGTGGTTTAGCCTCTTCAGGAGTAAGTGGCTTAGCTTCTTCAGGTGTAAGTGGCTTAGCTTCTTCAGGTGTAAGTGGCTTAGCCTCTTCAGGAGTAAGTGGCTTAGCTTCTTCAGGAGTAAGTGGCTTAGCTTCTTCAGGTGTAAGTGGCTTAGCTTCTTCAGGTGTAAGTGGCTTAGCTTCTTCAGGTGTAAGTGGCTTAGCTTCTTCAGGTGTAAGTGGCTTAGCTTCTTCAGGTGTAAGTGGCTTAGCTTCAGGTGTAAGTAGCTTAGCCTCTTCAGGAGTAAGTGGCTTAGCCTCCGCCTCTTCGGGTGTAAGTGGCTTAGCCTCTTCAGGTGTAAGTGGCTTAGCCTCTTCAGGTGTAAGTGGCTTAGCCTCTTCAGGTGTAAGTGGCTTAGCTTCTGCCTCTTCAGGTGTAAGTGGCTTAGCTTCTTCAGGTGTAAGTGGCTTAGCCTCTTCAGGTGTAAGTGGCTTAGCCTCTTCAGGTGTAAGTGGCTTAGCTTCTGCCTCTTCGGGTGTAAGTGGCTTAGTCTCTTCAGGTGTAAGTGGCTTAGCTTCTTCAGGTGTAAGTGGCTTAGCCTCTTCAGGTGTAAGTGGCTTAGCTTCTGCCTCTTTAGGTGCAAGTGGCTTAGCCTCTTCAGGTGTTAGTGGCTTAGCTTCTGCCTTTTCAGGTGTAAGTGGCTTAGCCTCTTCAGGTGTAGTTGTCTTAGCCTCTTCAGGTGTAAGTGGCTTAGCCTCTTCAGGTGTAAGTGGCTTAGCTTCTGCCTCTTTAGGTGCAAGTGGCTTAGCCTCTTCAGGTGTTAGTGGCTTAGCTTCTGCCTTTTCAGGTGTAAGTGGCTTAGCCTCTTCAGGTGTAGTTGTCTTAGCCTCTTCAGGTGTAAGTGGCTTAGCCTCTTCAGGTGTAAGTGGCTTAGCTTCTGCCTCTTCAGGTGTAAGTGGCTTAGCCTCTTCAGGTGTTAGTGGCTTAGCTACTGACTCTTCAGGTGTAAGTGGCTTAGCCTCTTCAGGTGTAAGTGGCTTTGCTTCTGACTCTTCAGGTGTAAGTGGCTTAGCCTCTTCAGGTGTAAGTGGCTTAGCTTCTTCAGGTGTAATTGACTTAGCTTCTTCAGGTGTTAGTGGCTTAGCTTCTACCTTTTCAGGTGTAAGTGGCTTTGCTTCATGCGTGAGTGGCTTAGCTTCTTCAGGTGTAAGTGGCTTAGCTTCTTCAGGTGTAAGTGACTTAGCTTCTTCAGGTGTAAGTGGCTTAGCCTTTGCCTCTTCAGGTGTAAGTGGCTTAGCTTCTTCAGGTGTAATTGGCTTAGCTTCTTCAGGTGTTAGTGGCTTAGCTTCTACCTTTTCAGGTGTAAGTGGCTTTGCTTCATGCGTGAGTGGCTTAGCTTCTTCAGGTGTAAGTGGCTTAGCTTCTTCAGGTGTAAGTGGCTTAGCTTCTTCAGGTGTAAGTGGCTTAGCCTTTGCCTCTTCAGGTGTAAGTGGCTTAGCTTCATCATGTGTGAGTGGCCTAGCTTCATCATGCGTGAGTGGCTTAGCTTCTTCAGGTGTAAGTGACTTAGCTTCTTCAGGTGTAAGTGGCTTAGCCTCTTCAGGAGTAAGTGGCTTAGCCTCTTCAGGAGTAAGTGGCTTAGCCTTTGCCTCTTCAGGTGTAAGTGGCTTAGCTTCTTCAGGTGTAAGTGGCTTAGCCTCTTCAGGAGTAAGTGGCTTAGCTTCCGCCTCTTCGAGTGTAAGTGGCTTAGCCTCTTCGGGTGTAAGTGGCTTAGCCTCTTCAGGTGTAAGTGGCTTAGCCTCTTCAGGTGTAAGTAGCTTAGCCTCTTCAGGTGTAAGTGGCTTAGCTTCTTCAGGTGTAAGTGGCTTAGCCTCTTCAGGTGTAAGTGGCCTAGCTTCTTCAGGTGTAAGTGGCTTAGCTTCTTCAGGTGTAAGTGGCTTAGCTTCTTCAGGTGTAAGTGGCTTAGCTTCTTCAGGTGTAAGTGGCTTAGCTTCTTCATGAGTAAGTGGCTTAGCTTCTTCAGGAGTAAGTGGCTTAGCTTCTTCAGGAGTAAGTGGCTTAGCTTCTTCAGGTGCAAGTGGCTTAGTTTCAGGTGTAAGTGGCTTAGCTTCTGCCTCTTCAGGTGTAAGTGGCTTAGCTTCTCCAGGTGTTAGTAGCTTAACTTCTGCCTCTTCAGGTGTAAGTGGCTTAGCTTCTGCCTCTTCAGGTGTAAGTGGCTTAGCTTCTGCCTTTTCAGGTGTAAGTGGCTTAGCTTCTGCCTCTTCAGGTGTAAGTGGCTTAGCCTCTTCAGGTGTTAGTGGCTTAGCTACTGACTCTTCAGGTGTAAGTGGCTTAGCCTCTTCAGGTGTTAGTGGCTTAGCTTCTGCCTCTTCAGGTGTAAGTGGCTTAGCTTCTGCCTCTTCAGGTGTAAGTGGCTTAGCTTCTGCCTCTTCAGGTGTAAGTGGCTTAGCTTCTTCAGGTGTTAGTGGCTTAGCTTCTGCCTTTTCAGGTGTAAGTGGCTTAGCTTCTGCCTCTTCGGGTGTAAGTGGCTTAGCCTCTTCAGGTGTAAGTGGCTTAGCCTCTTCAGGTGTAAGTGGCTTAGCCTCTTCAGGTGTAAGTGGCTTAGCCTCTTCAGGTGTAAGTGGCTTAGCTTCTTCAGGTGTAAGTGGCTTAGCCTCTTCAGGTGTAAGTGGCTTAGCTTCTGCCTTTTCAGGTGTAAGTGGCTTAGCTTCTTCAGGTGTAAGTGGCTTAGCTTCTGTCTCTTCGGGTGTAAGTGGCTTAGCTTCTGCCTCTTCGGGTGTAAGTGGCTTAGCTTCTGCCTCTTCAGGTGTAAGTGGCTTAGCTTCTTCAAGTGTAAGTGGCTTAGCTTCTTGAAGTGTAAGTGGCTTAGCTTCTTCAGGTGTAAGTGACTTAGCCTTTTCGGGTGTAAGTGGCTTAGCTTCTCTTTCTTCAGGTGTAAGTGGCTTACCTTCTCTTTCTTCAGGTGTAAGTGGCTTAGCCTTTGCCTCTTCAGGTGTAAGTGGCTTAGCTTCTGCCTCTTCAGGAGTAAGTGGCTTAGCTCCTGCTTCTTCAGGTGTAAGTGGCTTAGCCTCTGCCTCTTCAGGTGTAAGTGGCTTAGCTTCTTCAGGAGTAAGTGGCTTAGCTTCTTCAGGTGTAAGTGGCTTAGCTTCTGCCTCTTCGGGTGTAAGTGGCTTAGCTTCTGCCTCTTCGGGTGTAAGTGGCTTAGCCTTTGCCTCTTCAGGTGTAAGTGGCTTAGCTTCCGCCTCTTCAGGTGTAAGTGGCTTAGCTTCTTCAGGTGTAAGTGGCTTAGCTTCTTCAGGTGTAAGTGGCTTAGCTTCTTCAGGTGTAAGTGGCTTAGCTTCTGCCTCTTCGGGTGTAAGTGGCTTAGCTTCTGCCTCTTCGGGTGTAAGTGGCTTAGCCTTTGCCTCTTCAGGTGTAAGTGGCTTAGTCTTTGCCTCTTCGGGTGTAAGTGGCTTAGCTTCTGCCTCTTCAGGTGTAAGTGGCTTAGCTTCCGCCTCTTCAGGTGTAAGTGGCTTAGCCTCTTCAGGTGTAAGTGGCTTAGCTTCCGCCTCTTCAGGTGTAAGTGGCTTAGCTTCCGCCTCTTCAGGTGTAAGTGGCTTAGCTTCCGCCTCTTCAGGTGTAAGTGGCTTAGCTTCCGCCTCTTCAGGTGTAAGTGGCTTAGCTTCCGCCTCTTCAGGTGTAAGTGGCTTAGCCTTTGCCTCTTCAGGTGTAAGTGGCTTAGCCTTTGCCTCTTCAGGTGTAAGTGGCTTAGCTTCTGCCTCTTCAGGTGTTAGTGGCTTAGCTTCCGCCTCTTCAGGTGTAAGTGGCTTAGCTTCTGCCTCTTCAGGTGTAAGTGGCTTAGCTTCCGCCTCTTCAGGTGTAAGTGGCTTAGCCTTTGCCTCTTCAGGTGTAAGTGGCTTAGCCTTTGCCTCTTCAGGTGTAAGTGGCTTAGCCTTTGCCTCTTCAGGTGTAAGTGGCTTAGCTTCTGCCTCTTCAGGTGTAAGTGGCTTAGCCTTTGCCTCTTCAGGTGTAAGTGGCTTAGCTTCCGCCTCTTCAGGTATAAGTGGCTTAGCCTTTGCCTCTTCAGGTGTAAGTGGCTTAGCCTTTGCCTCTTCAGGTGTAAGTGGCTTAGCTTCCGCCTCTTCAGGTGTAAGTGGCTTAGCTTCTGCCTCTTCAGGTGTAAGTGGCTTAGCTTCCGCCTCTTCAGGTGTAAGTGGCTTAGCCTTTGCCTCTTCAGGTGTAAGTGGCTTAGCCTTTGCCTCTTCAGGTGTAAGTGGCTTAGCTTCCGCCTCTTCAGGTGTAAGTGGCTTAGCCTTTGCCTCTTCAGGTGTAAGTGGCTTAGCTTCTGCCTCTTCAGGTGTAAGTGGCTTAGCTTCCGCCTCTTCAGGTGTAAGTGGCTTAGCCTTTGCCTCTTCAGGTGTAAGTGGCTTAGCCTTTGCCTCTTCAGGTGTAAGTGGCTTAGCTTCTGCCTCTTCAGGTGTAAGTGGCTTAGCTTCTGCCTCTTCAGGTGTTAGTGGCTTAGCT